GAGTGCACTGGCAGCGCGGCGGCGCTGCGGCCCTCGCAGGGGGCCGCCGATTGGTAGAGGGCTCTCTGCCTCCTAGATTGGATGCACTCGTGGCCTTGCGCCCTCTTCTCCTCCTCCTCCTCCTCCTCCTCCTCCTCCTCCTCCTCCTCTTCCTCCTCCTCCTCTCCTCCTCCTCCTCCTCCTCCTCCTCCTCCTTCCCCGCCTCATCTCCTCCAATCCTGCAGGCTTCCTAGATGGGTCCGAGTAGATGGGGTCGGAGGATTTCGACGTCGCCGATGCATCGCCGATACATCGGCGATGCATCGGCGACGTCGACGTGGAGAAACACGGGCTCCACATCGAGCCGCATCGTCGACGCATCGGCGATGCGGCGCGATCCTCCGACCCCATCTACTCGGACCCCATCTGGGAGGCCTATTATTGGGGGAGCATATCTTGAAGGCTTGGAGATGGGCACCAACACAAAAACAAGGGGGTGCGTCCACCAGGGGGGGATGATCCTAGATTTCGGTGATGGTGGTAATGTCTCGGCCACATAGGAAACTCGAAGAATACCACCATTTCCGAGATCGGGATCAACTTTCCTCGGTGGAGGCACACCGCCGACATTGTTAGTGCCAACCTCTAGGCTGCCGAACGTAAACCAAGCCCAGAGGTTGGGAGGCAACTCCTGGGCGGTCTTCTCAAGACAGAATATGAGGCACATTAAACCCGATGGAGGGGCCACTGAGGCGGATCAGGCTGAATTATCCGAGATCGAGCGGGACCAGGCGGGATCGGGCGGGGCTGGGCCAGACTTCGACCACGGATCTACCAGCGCCGATGCTGCCGCTCACCCCCCAGTCGGGGATGGACAGACCCCCCTTTAGTAAAACGTGGTTTAGTGAAAACGACCCGAGGCCCAAACCTGGCGGGCGCAAGCCTGGAAAATGACGGCCGCGGCGCCCTCTCGAGAACCGAAAACGGACAGTTCACTAATTGATCGACGTGTCGCTGTTGGGGGTTCTGTCCAAGCCCCGATTTCCTCTGCTGAAAACCAGCCGCCACGTCTCTTCCACGACACGAGGGGGTGTGGGCCTAAAAGCCGGCCCCCCAGACCCCTCGCGGGGCGCGCTCCGACCCGGGAGAGCCTCGAGGCGGACCCTGGAGGCGAGGAGGCCCCGGGACGCCCAGGGGAAGGCGAGGCCAGGACCAGGACCAGGACAAATCCTCCTCCTCCTCCCTCCTCCTCCTCCTCCCTCCTCCTCCTCCCTCCTCCTCCTCCTCCTCCTCCTCCTCCTCCTCCTCCTCCTCCTCCTCCTCCGCCTCCACGTAACACATACGGTAACACAGCGTCTCCGGAGCGGCAGGGCCAGAAAGAGCACACGCGCCACGGAGCGTCCACTGTGCGAGATTCCTTGGCGCGCGCGTCGCCCCAGCAGAGGGGCGACGCGCACACAGTATTCGTATGCTGGTTCGACGCCGAGTGGGCGGCGGACCCCCCCCCCTCGGGGCCATCGATCCAAGGTTATGTCGGGCGTGTCCCCCTACAGGGGGATTTTCGACGAAAAACGAAAAATACCCCAAAGTTGCCCCAAAATTGCAAAAAAATGCTCAAAAAATAGTCCCCATACTATCTTTGGACTGTTTTTCCTCGACAATCTCCTTGTAGGGGGACAGGCCCGACTTGAATCCAAGGCCCTCCGAAAGCCGGCGGAAGGCCCCTGGAAGGCCCCCCCCTCGGAGCGCCTCTGGAGGGCCCGCTGGAGGGCCTCTCCCCTGAGATCCGACGTCAGGAGCACACCGCAACCCCATCAGACAGCTCGACTTGAGCACTCGATGCCATCGTTCTGCAGCACTCTTCGAGCCAGATCGATCCGCGAGGGGCCCAAGACCGAAACTGGGCGAAAACCACCATGTAGTCCCGACCGCTTCCCCAGGACCAGCTTTTTCGTCCAGGATCAGTTGACAAACGAACAACACACCCGTACCCTCAGGGGTGTCGGAGGGAGGAAGACTGGCTATGGGTATGGGTTCGGGCTGTCGGAGCCCAAGGGAGGCTCCCGTTCGAGCGTGGACCACATCCGACCACACGCACCCAAAGAGTCGGACCTGGGCCATAAGAACATCCCTCAAGAGCATGAGCCGCCCCGTCGACCCAAACAAACTTAACATCCAAGGGTACACGCCCCAGGATGCACAAGAAAATCTAACAAAAACGAAGAGCACTATGGTAACTATGATACCTCCCAAAACCGACCTCAATCTTATACCTCCATCCGACTGTATAGGTGTATGTGTGCTTGATGGGGGTCCAAGGACACGCAAACGAATAGACACACATCCCAGGATCCCCCATATGTTCCTCATTTTTCTTGGTGTTCGTCTTCCCCCCACTTCCCATAGGTTCCATTTGAACTGTGTCTGTGAGTCTCTTCCTTCCTGAGTGTTGTTCGTTCGTCGTGAATGGCTATTGGCCCCCAGGCCCGCCGGCGGCCCCTGGGGGCCGAGGTCTAGGGAAAGCTGCCGGCTAAGGACAAATCGCACCGTCGGAGATCTGGGACTGCCCAGGGACTCGAGCAGGGGATCGACGAAAGAATCGACGTACCCCAAAAATGGTGCCCTGGTCGAATCTACAAGAAAGACGCAGGTGTCATGGATGCGACGGGAAAACGATGCTGTATCCATTCTGTAGTCCATCCCTCCAGGAGGAGGAGGAGGAGGAGGAGGAGGAGGAGGAGGAGGAGGGAGGAGGAGGAGGAGGAGGAGGAGGAGGAGGAGGAGCTCGAGAGGTCTGACGTTGCAAGAAACTTGCATCGGACTGCGCCAATTGTACACTTGCACCGATCCTGGCCGGGCCGATCCTCCGGCCCAGGATCGGTGTAGATGCCTTCCTCGCCAGGCCAGAGGGGCGCATGCACCGATCCTGGGCCAAGGACGGGCCTGGCCAGGATCGGTGTAGGTGTACAATTGGCGCCCTGCGGCTGCAACTACGCCAAACATCCCGACCGAAACCGCAGACCCCATCTTTCGGCGTCATGTTTCGAGCCAGGTCGATCTGTGAGGGTCCTGGAGCCCGAAGCCGGGCGAAAACGCACGTCATGAAAAACGTGCGACGCCGGGATCTGAGAGCGTGTCATGCGACAGAGACGACAAAACAAGGCCAAGATCTCGGTGGCGCAATCGTGAGGCAACTAAAAAGCGTCCAGCCACGTCGAGAGGCTGTTTTGCGAGCGATGGCTGGCATGAACGACTGCTTGGCGAGGTTAAACGGACCACCGTGCAAAATCGCGTTGTCGGGAATTCTGGGGCGACAAAAATAGAAACGCCAAGACTTGCCCTCGCTCGGACGTCCATCCCCCGTGCACCTTTCGGTTCCGTGCGTGCTTTTTATGTTGCCCGATGGTCAAGGATGAGCCTCGATGGTCCTCGCTGCGAAAAGAACGCACTTCTCATTCGCGGCCATAACGGGCGTTATGGGGGGAGGATGGGAAGTTGCATTACGTAGCGCCCCCCCCTGCAGACTCTGGTGTCGGACGCACTGCGGTAGTTCTGGGGACGCACTGGGGGGCGCAACGTTGCGTTATGGGGGGGGGAGGGGGGGGGGAAGGGTAGGGGGCATAATGTGCGGTATGGCCCACCAAGTACGAAGCACGCCCGCAAATGGACACCGTCTGGGGTGCTGCGGGTGCGGCGCTGGGGCGCCGGTGCACTAGGAGACAATGAGGCCCGATCAGAAATCCAGCTCGATCTCGTTCCAAAGCTCTGTTGTGGTAGATTAACATATTTGAGCTATCCGCGCAGCTTGTTCATACTTGGTGCGACGTGAACTGTGAGCCGATATTTTGCCAAGAGGGTAACAAAACAAAAACACTCTCAAAAATGCACACGTCCGAGCGATGCCACGAGGCCCTCGGTGCCCACAGGGCCTCCGCCAGGGGCCTCCCACAGGGGCCCCGCGCCAGGGGCGCCCCGCCAGAGGTGCGGCTTTCGGCGCGCCCGCGCACCCACGGTGCGCGAGGGCGGCGCTGGTGTCGACCGCTGGCGTCGTTCGACGACCGACCGACCCACCGACCGAAAACGGCGACGACCGTCGGCGACGGCGACGTCGGCGACGAGGGGGAGGAAGCAGGAGCAGCAGGAGGGGCAGCAGAGGAAGGAGGCGGAGGAAGGAAGGGCGAGTGGGGGAGGTGGAGGAGGAGGAGGACGAGGAACACTATAGCCGACAGACCCTGGAACCAGGAGGAGGAGGAGGAAAGGAGGACGGGGGAGGAGGAGAATGGAGGAGGACGGGGGAGAGGGGGGAAGAGGACGAGGAGGCTCAAGGGAGACGAGAGGGAAAGAGTTAGGGAAAATAGTGAAGGGACGGCAAAGGGGGCGCGGGAGGGTCAAGGGAAGCGGGAGGTGACAGGTGGGGGGTTGTGGACGGGGCGTGTATTGAGCGTCTTGCCAAATGTGTCCACGTCCACTCCGTCAATATTATCAGAGTGACGGGGCCGAACGGTCTTACACCATCCCTGGGTGCGTAGGTGAAGTAGGATTCCGTTGCCCAATTCCTGTTTGTATGTTGCTATCCGTGTTTGTTTGTTGTCGTCGTCGTCCACCCCCCGCGACCCACCCCGCGACCCACCCCGCGTCCGCCCCCTCACTCTTATCCGCAATTCCAGGGTGCTGCGCATGAGTCTTCGCGGCTCCGGATCACCGGCTGGAGACAACGAACCCGCTGGAGGAAGAACGACCAAAGGGCTGCGCCCAAGGCCACTGAGGCCGAGCGCTGCGATCACGCCCAAACACTACACTACGGCCATCTTACTCAAGCTGATCAGACACCGTACATTGAGCATGTAGTGGAGCTCCCAACGGCTCATGCGGCTGTGAAGATTACAATAGGGTTGGACAGCGCTGCGCAGCAGGAGGAGGCGTCTGGGCCACAGAACAAGGTGTGCCAGCTGCGACGTCACCTGGGCGTCGCTTGGGGCACACTTCACTCCATGCAGCACATCACCGCGGTAAGCACTAAGCTACGCTGACGTGTCCGTATCCACTTCCTGAGGGTGGGAATGATGTGAGCAGAAGGTGATTGGCGGCGCCCGCTAGGGGGTAGCACCAAGGAGTCGGGCTTCTGAGGAGGCGGCGGGACTTCTAAGATCGCAGAGGGGCGTCTCAGAAACCCGCCTTGCTTTCCGGAAGGCGTCTTAGAAGCCCCCCTGGCCATTCTAAGGAGGCCCCCATGCCTCCCCAGAGCCCCCCCCCACCGCCTTCCTCGAAGGCCGCCCCCCTCGCGCCACGCCCTTGAGCGCCGCCAGGGTGGGGATGATGAAAGCCGAGGGTGCGGATGAAGACAAGTAGTGGGGCTCTCCAGGGCACGGTCCCCGAGCTGGCTGGGATTCTTGGGCGCCCAACATTCCCACATCCACGGCCTCGCAGTCCGGGCTCCTCGGCCACAACCCCAGTGATACAGTGCAGCTTTTTGCTCGAACGCCCCGCGCGGAATGCATCCGTGGACTCGCATATCCATAGAAGCGCGACTCGGAATCTAGACCGCGAGGGCATGGACTACAGTAGGGACTCGACCACAAGAACCTTCGACAAGAAACCCAACCCTGAGACCTAAGGACGTCCACTGATTTTTGGTGCGGGAACGTCGCGCTCTCCATAGCAAAACCATCGCAATCCCAATAAACCCAGGGCACCCTGGAGGCGAGCAGGGTGTTTCTTGGCATGGGCCTCCACTGTAGAGGAGCAGCAAAAACCGAGGCCACAAAACAGAAGCTGTCGGAAGTCCGTGCTGATTGCTTGGGTTGGCGCTGGACCCCACCCGCCAGGCCGTGGCGCGCGAGGCGCGCCGGGAGGGCGGCAGCGCAGGCGCCGCAAGCGCGTCCAGCGCCGACCCAAGAAATCCGCGCGGACCTCCAGAAGCTCATGATTACAGTGGAGGCCAATGCCAAGAAAAACCCTGCTCGCCTCCAGGGTGCCCTGGGTTTCTTGGGTTTCCATGGTGTTGCTCTGGAGAGCGCGACGTTCCCACACCAAAAATCCATGGACGTCCTGGGGTCTCAGGGTTGGGTTTCTTGTGGAAGGTTTCTTGCGGTCGGGCCTCCACTGTATTCAAGTATTTGTATACAATTACCTATACGACCAAAGTTCGGGCGATGAGGTTAGGGGGGAGAACCAACTGACGACAACTTCGATGGCTGCGAAGATGACGATGCTGGTTGTGCGAGCTCGAGTTGGCCACGACGAGTGACGATGCTGCGTCGCGGTGTGACCCCACTATCGACCCCACTCGACCGACCTCACAATCGATCGATCTCACTATCGACCTCACGGCCAATCCCACTGTCGATGGATCCAACTATCGATCCCACAATCGATCTCACAATGAGTCGCGTTGGGTACGATTGGGAAACCACACCGCGGGACACCGACGGGACACCGACGGGACACCGACGGGACACCACGGGACACCATCGAGACACAAATCGATCTCTTGTTCGATCTCACTATCGATCTCACTATCGATCTCACCACGGGACACCGACGGGACACCGACGGGACACTGACGGGAAACCGACGGGACACCGACGGGATACCGACGGGACACCGACGGGACACCCACGGAACACCGACGGGACACCAACGGAACACCGACGGGACACCACGGCGGGACAACCCAGCCACCGCCCACCCATCACGACCGGATACCGACGGGATAGCGACGGTACACCAGACACGGTGGGAACCTGAAACCGAAAGCGGTTTCCCGGTGGGGGGCTCTCCGTTCCACTTCGATCTGCCCCCCCCAACCTCCGATATACATATATAAGTGTATATACTAAATATAATATGTGTATATATGTCGCGCTGTCTGCTCTGCTACAGTCGGAACAATAACACAATGCCATGATACAACATGAGCCCCATTCCGCTGACAAAAGAGCACAAAAAACGTAAGGCCACCGAGGGCCCCTTCTGAAGAATCCCCTGGCCTGATCTGCCAGGCCTTTCAAAGCCGTGGTGAACACGGACAGGCATGGCCCAGAACCCTGGCCTTACTGGAAAGAACGAACGAAGATGCTAAACTGAGGAACAGTCGAGGGTACCCATTCAATCGTTGCACACGGACATGACACAGGAAGCCAAGAACAAGAGGTACCGTTCCCCAGAGAGAGCAGGTCCTGACGACTCGCTCCGACCGCACTCTGGGTACTTTCTGCGAGGCGGAAATCTATCCATGTCCTCCGCCGGAGACCGAAGTCCTGGGGACCCAGCGGGCGGCAAATGTGGAGATGAACATACAATATGTATACAGATATACATACATATAAATGTATATATACACATATATATATATATATATATTACATGCGTGTGTGTATGTGTGTTGGACCAGGGGCGGGCGAATTATGTATATATATATATGTATATATGCATACTGACACATAACACAAGTTAATACATCAATCTGAAATAGAGTAGAATGTAATATAACAGTGGTTGGTCAGATGAAAATGCCATTAAATGTTATACTGTATGAGAAATGCCTATTGTCATATAGACTAATATGCCAGTATTTGTTGTACTATCCAACACGATACCATGTTACAACATGATGTAGAACAGCATGATCTATTGTAGCATGATACACTATACCAAAATACGATATCGTATTTAAGATCCTGCTATAACATAACACCATATGGTAATGCAATACAAGTATCATATAAAAAAAAACGGTTGCTATAATGTATTTGTATGTGGTGAATGCGATACGCTATAATATACTACGGTACAGCACACTGTGATGCCACTCAATACAATTCAATATACTAGATACATGGCACGCATACAAGGTACGCATACATTGTACTATGATATACTAGAACACAACATAATATCATTGGGTGAACCATCATACCATACAATACCACATAATGACACTATAAAATGATAAGTGTCACTATGCTATAACATAAGGAAACGTATAGGAATGCAATATATCATTATATGTAGTAATAGAACGTACTATGCTATACCACAATAAAAAAGCACATGATGTATGATATAATACAGTATTATGGTACCATGTAAGATAATACCATATTAGATTATGCAATCACATAAAGTATATGTACATGCGTATGTATGTATAAAATGTAAGTGCATACATACATATACACGTATCCACCGCCTGTGGAGGTCCGGGAGGATCGATCCTCCAGGCGGCAGTTATCATGGGGCGGCGATGGGGGCGAGTAGCCCAGGGGAGAATCACACATGCATACCAGGGCGCCGATGGTCCACGCCCTCGGCGAGGTTCCCGGGCGAATACGTGTAATGCCCGCCTCTGGGCTATTCGCGCCTAGAGGAGGAGGAGGAGGAGGAGGAGGAGGAGGAGGAGGAGGAGGAGGAGGAGAGGAGGAGGAGGAGGAGGAGGAGGAGGAGGAGGACGACGAGGAGGGGCTTTTCGCCCCCATCGTCGCCTCCGAGTTATGAATAAATCCCCGCCTCGAACGTTCATCGCTCACGAAATCCCTGGGCCCCTCGAGGCGGAGGCCTCGTCCATGAACACCTGGCCCAGCCGCGGCGCGGCGGCGCCGAGCTGGCAGAGGTGCCACACCTCGGCCCCGGCGAGGACATGGTGAACATCGGCACCGAATCGACGAATCGGATCGAATCGAAAATGGCGTCGGACAGGCCTGGGAAGAAAATTGGCGAACACGCATGCCGCACTCATCTGTCAATGCCCCCCCAGAGATCGGTGCTGGCGGTGGGCTGAACAAGCTGCACGTCGACCGCAGTCTTCCCACGCGTGCCAACCTTGAGGTTTGGGGGAGCGGGGGAGTGTCCACTAATTGTTTCCCTCCACCGGAGGGTCACAGGCGGCGAACGTATTCATATCCACTCGGGGGGAGGGGGGGGGGCGAAAGGGTAGGATACCAAAGGGTAGGGTAGAGACTCAGCACGTAGCTGGTTTTCCTGGCGCCTCCTGGCGCCAGGTGGCGCCCGTGTATCGAGGAACGGGCCCGGCGGCGGGGCCGAAACCAGCTGCGCGCAGCAAATCTTGCACCCCCCCCCCCTTTCCTTGGCCGACCCTTTCGTCCAGCCCGGACCACGCCCTCGCGGCCTGGACTCCGAGGCGCGATCCCGCGGACACGCGGTCGCACGGACACGTTCCGCGCGGGGCATCCACGAAAAAAGGCCCCGTGCATCCGCAGGGCCGCGGCCCGCGAGGCCGCGGGGACTGATGATGTGGTGCTCTCCCACGAGAGCGGGGCTGCGTCGGCACGGAAGCGGGATCGGATCGGACAGGCCGCGCCAGGAGCCGCAGCTGCACCGTGCAAGCGTCAGGCCGCGTCGGATCGCTGGAGGAATGCCGGAATCGAATCGGATCGGCCCGGCTGGGACCCTGTCCTCCAGCGTTGCAGTTCGCTCGATGTCATGTGTTCATAGCAGTCGGAAGGTAGGCCAGTCAATTGCGCGACAAACGAGTGCAGTTCGCAACGTGCCTTCACATCACGAGCGCATGCAGACCTGGACATGGAATGTTAAGGGTACTGGTTGTGTTCAGGCGTTCAGGTCGAAACCCAAGGAGAAACGCAAAAATAGTAAGTAGCCTGGCGAGCCACGTTAGCAATCACACTGCGCGCCAGGCCCAGCATGGCGAACCGACCCGTTCGCCCAACGAATCTCGTGGTGCAGCATACCCAAGGAGCATAAGCAGTGGACTGGGACTGGGCCAAGCCGCCAGTGAACCTTCCTTGAGGTGACAACTCCTGGGCGGGCTTCGTGAGCACGATATTCAGGGGGTCCTGGGACACACAACAAAATAGGCACAAACTCAAGGATTCCACATATTTCCCTTTAGTTTCTGGGACTTCGTCTTCCCTCACACGTCCCAGATTTTCCAATATTTTCCTGGGAATCGACGATAAATCGTATCTGCATGTTCTTCTCCTCCTGACAGACTAGGCGGGACTGGTACAGAGGCAATACCACGGCCAAAAGCTACCTCAATCTTCAAAGGAGTTTCAACCGAACTCCTGGTGTAACGTATCCAATACTGACAGTCCGTTGCGAGGCCCCAAGCTGACTCTCTGTCTATTTTCTCAGGAGCCCTCAAGCTTAGGATCCCGCCTCTTCCGCCCCCAGCAAATCCCAACGGCCCACATCCACGCCCCCCCACCGCCCACACGAGCATCCTCTCCGACACTCATTTAGCATGATCCTCACCAACCCGACGACTGTCTGCACACTCAGAGCCTTGCCAGAGGCAGCCTCCTCACAGAATTCGAAGGCACTCTTTGGCCCCAATTGCGTCTTGATGAGCGAGGGGCGACAGGGGAAAACCTGGGAAGGGACCTATGTAGAGGCCTCCTAGATGAAATCAGATGAGATGAAATGGGGTCGGAAGATCGCGCCGCATCGGCGATGCATCGGCGATGTGCTGGCAACGTCGGCGATGCACAGGCAACGTCGGCGTGGAGGAAATCGGGCTCCACATCGAGCCGCATCGCCGATGCATCGGCGATGCGGCGCGGGCCTCCGACCCCATCTACTCGGACCCCATCTAGGAGACCTAGAATCTGGCAAGTTCGTGTCGCGGCGATGTCGTCATTGGTTGCTGCCACCGCACGAATCGTTCGATCTTGAGCGATCGTGACCTCCCGCTAGCGCCGCTCGCTCGATGTTGACCGACTCCCGACCACTGGCGGCACTCAACCTTGAACGCCCGAGCTGTGGTCGCGCCCGCGTCAACGCGGCGAGAACCTACCGCCAGCCCGTACAATCAGGGCTATGTTAGCGTTTTTCGAACGAGGCTGGCCAACAAAAGTCGCTAAGAATGGGTCGAAGGGACAAGGATGTACGGGTAGACTCGGAAAGTTGCTCATCTTTACCTATGCGGGCTGACTGCACCGCAGGGAAGCCTGAGCCTGTTCCGACGGAAAAGTGACGATCCAAGCTGTTTGACTGCAAGCTTGCGACCCAAGCTCAGCTTAGGCAGAAAAGGAGGGCATATGACGGGAGCCCGCGTGCCGAAGTTCGCCCCGCGGAAGCGGGGTCTCGCTCGTGGTTGGCGCACCGACCCAATTCTGGCATGCACTGGCACAAGACCCCACCCGTGTGAACAACTGGGTTGACCTAGGGCCGAAGCCAAGTCGCCCCTACGTACGACTGCGAGGACTGAAATGTAAAAGCTGCAATGGACTTGGTAGATGACTCGTCCTGTCATCATGCTCATCTGCCCTGACTCCTTCACGCTGGCTCATCAGCGCACCGGCGACTCGAGGAAATTCTCCTGAGCCAGGGCAGGCAAGATTGACGTGCAGGAGCAGGGACAGACAACGACCCGCTGAATCAAACCAGGATCAGTACACTTCACGAGGGCGTGCGTAGGTCTGGAAGCACGAAAGGAAACACCACCCGCAGAGCTGCACAAAGCATGAGAAGCGCTACCCGACCCTCCCACGACGTAAACCTGCTTCTCCTCCTGCTGCTCCGCAGCGTTATCCTCCTTCGCCCTCCTCGTATCTCTTTCTCCTCCTCCCCCTCCTCCTCCTCCTCCTCCTCCTCCTCCTCCTCCTACTTCTCCTACTTCTCCTACTTCTCCTCCTCCTCCTCCTCCTCCTCCTCCTCCTCCTCCTCGTTCTTCTCGTACTATTCCTCCTCCTCCTCCTCCTCCTCCTCCCTGCAACATGTCCTCGACATCCAGCAATGCACCCTTTACCTCCGATCACGGCAATGCTCTGTCTGCTGCTCATGGCCATCCTCCCTCCACAGAGGATTCCGAGAAGCCGAGAACAGCTCAGGAAATCTCGTCTGGAAGAAGAGCCTTGCGTCACCGCGGATGGCCATTCATACTATGGTGTACTTGCTTCCTCTTCAGGAACTTACTACCCTGTCTGGCGCTTGCACCGTCACCTCTGTTTTAGTGAGGCTGCCAACTCTAGACTCGAGGAAAGAGTTTGCCACCAATTACGTCCACACGGTCCTGCTCGAGTTGACAAAACGACGTGATGGCCTCCGTTCGAATTGACGGCCCCGCATTGACGGATTCTCTCCACATTGGCGAGCCCTCTTTAGAGGCCCCCCTTGTTCCATCCGTCGTGGTGAGCGGAATCGCGGGATCGAACTGACGATGGCTGCGGTCTTGACGACAGGTTTGCTGGCTCCCGCTTGGCGATTTTTTGTCTTGACGATCCACGTGTTGAGGAAGCGGTGACGACTCATCTCGGTTTGGCGATCGAAGCTGACGACCGCCCGTCCGCTCTTCTCCAACCAAGCTCCGTCTCGGCCACGTAAGCGACGATCAACAAAGGGTCGCACGCGAGATGGCACAGCGACCTCCCGCGGCGGTTCACGCGGGCCGCGAGCGCGGCACGCCACAGTGGAAGCGTGTGCGCCTACGCGCGACCTTGCGCGGGCAGCTCACGCGTCAATGCCGGCGCAGACGACTCCTCTCCTCCTGCGCCGCTCACATGGCGAGACTCAGGCCATCGGTCCTCCTTCTCGATCTTCGAACCGCAGACTGGCGGCGCCCACCAGTGGGGGTGCCGCGAGGGGGGCGACCCTACAAGACGGCATGGAGGAGGCGGCCGTCTGAGAAGGGGGGGGGCTTAAATGCGTTTCTGAGTCCCCCAGGCCCTCCCGAGAAAGCCCCCCCCCCGCCTTTTCAGAAGGCCGCGCCCCTCACACCACCGCCTTCTATGTCGGAGGAGGGCGAGAGCGGAACGCGACCATCACATGTGGACTCACCACGTCAACAAACACGATGCGGATCGAAAAGTCGTCAGGAAAACTACGTCACCGAGGGCAAGAACACAGGAACGGCATATAGGCCAAGATGCAAATGGCAAACTAGTGTAGTGATTCGAGGCCCGAAAGAGGAAGAGAAAGAGAGAGAGAGAGAGAGAAAGAGATCTATATATATATATATATATATATATATATATTCCTCCTCATCATTCTCCTCCTCCTCCTCCTCCTCGTCCTCCTCCTCCTCCTCCTTCCCTTTCTCCCCCTCCTCCTCCTCCTCCTCCTCCTCCTCCTCCTCCTCCGCCTCCTCCTCCTCTTCCGGTCCCCAGAAGTCCCTCCCCAGAGCCCCCCCCCCGAGCTCCCGCAGGGGGGGCTCCTAGAGCATCATCGATCGAAATTATTGATCTTCCTGCTCCACCTCCTCCTCCTCCTTCTCCTCTGCCTCCTCCTCCTCCTCCTCCTCCTGCTCCTGCTCCACCTCCTCCTGCTCCTCCTCCTCCTCCTGCTCCTCCTCGAGCCTCGAGTCTCGATCCTCGAGCCCCGACCGTCCTATCTTCCTGTTCCTCCTCCTCCTTCTCCGCCTCCCTCCTCCTCCTCCTCCTCATCCTCCTCCTCCCCCATTTCTTTTCCTTAAAAATCACTTCTCCCTGTCGCACCCCGAGGCCAGTTTGTAGGGCGGTACGGGCGGTACGCCTGAAACTTCCTCACAATTCATAACCCTGAATATCAAACATTGGCAACAGTTTCACAGGTGGAGGGCGGGTGGTTTTCAAAATGTCGCTCTCGCCTTAGCGCCGCGCGCATTGGTTGCAAATAATCGCAAGAGTTTCACGGATTGAGGGCTGGTGCTTTTCAAAATGTAGATATCGCATTAGCGCCGCGCACATTCGCTTTACAATGTTACCAGAGCTTCACGGATTGAGGGCGGGTGGTTTTCAAAGTGTGGATCTCGCCCAAGCGCCGCGTACATGCGTTTTACAAATTTGCAAGAGCTTCACGGATTGAGGGCGGTTCCTTTCAAAGTGTGGCTCTCGCCTTAACGCCGCGCGCATTCGTCTGTAACATTTACAAGACCGTCACGGGTTCCTATGATCAACGTACCAGAAAGAGTATTTGCGAGAGATTCAGGATTACGCGGGCGCAACAGCTACGTTCATTCGCGGCGTTGAAGTCCCAGGAAAGGCTCTCTGGCACGATTCAAGCGCATCAAGACGCTAAAGTCAGCTTGATCCGTGGCGCTGGAATCCCGAGAACAGGGTCAGAATCTTCAGACGATTGCCTTCCGACGAGGCAATTCATTCCCTCACTGTAGATGCACCGTAGTAGGAGCCCATTTAGAGGGAGCTTGGAGGGAGGGGTTACTCCAACATCGTTCATGGCTCTTGGGTTTGCATTGATCCTCCTCCTCCTCATCGTCCGCCTCCTCCACCTCCTCAGCCTACCCTCCTCGTCCTCCTCCTCCTCCTCCTCCTCCTCCTCCTCCCCCTCCTCCTCTTCCTCCTCCTCCACCTCCTCCTCCTCCTGCTCCTCCTCCTCCTCCTCCTCCTCCACCTCCTCCACCTCCTCCTCCTCCTCCTCAGCCTACCCCCCCCCCTCCTCCCCGCGGCCGCTTCGCTCCGCGATGTCCGCGAGCAGCTCCCGGGGCAGGTGCTGGAGGCCGTCCCCTTGCGTGTGCGGCGGGGCCCGGGGAGGGGGGCCCAAGCAGGAAGTGGGGGCGTTTGGCGGGATACAGGGCAGCTTGTAATACATAGGAGTTTTAAACATATTGGATTTGTAATACATGATTAATGTATGAACTAATGTATGCATGAACTCATCGTTGTTTCTAATACTAAATCCCTGCATGTTTAATGCATGATCCGCACGCGGAGCATGTATTAAAAACGGCACTGTACAGGCAATCCGCCGATATCTTCCTCCTCTTCAGCATCCTCGGACTCCCGAGATGGGCACGTGCGGAACACGACGGGCGCGGCCGCGGTTGGTCGGGCGGCCTCCTGCCTCAGATGGACGAGGCCCGCAGCAGCACCGACAGCAAATCTGTGCCAGGGTGGACAAGAACTGGTGCCCGTCTTTCTCGCCATTCTTTCCGTGGCACAAGCGTGGCTCAAGGCCGACACAAGCGCCTCGCGTGGCTCGAGGCCGCCACCGGCTCCAGTCCGCTCCGTCATTCACTCCGTGTCCGCGAGCTCCGTGCCGCCTCAACGTTTGAGCATTGGTCTGAGCCCCGTGGGCCAAGTGAGAATAGACGTTCGTCGCAGCCAACCAGCCAGGGCCGAATGGGCACAAGCCAGCCCCACTCTCCCTCTCGATGTCGTCAAGCCATGCCCTCGCAGGACTGGGGAGGAATAGCGGCCCTCAGAATGTAAGTACAATTCCAAGCTTTCCGGTTCACACACCGTGGTGCTCCCTGCCCTGGGCCGAGAACCTGAGGCTGACTCACATGTGCTTTGCTGCCGTGGCCGTAGACGTCGAAAGGAAGTCGGATCTGTGCCCCAGATTAGATTCAGGAGCAGGCCCAGCTCGCATGCTCAGGTCACCAGGGTGCGCTAGCAAGGCCGCACCCACTCCTGAAGCCTGCAGGGCGCTGTCTTCCCTGTTCTGCCAGCGCTTTACAACAGCATACGCGACAACACCGGCGGTGTTCACTGCATAACCGACTGACTGCGTCAATGAGATGTCGCCCCCCTCACCACCGAGAACCAGAAAAAATATGACCATGATCACGTTGTGCGCTGCCGCCAGGACCGCAAGCGTGAGTGCCGAAGTGAGCTCGACGAGTCGAAGCTCGCACAGCAGAATCCCTGTCACACCCAACGCAAAGGCCATAAGAGACCCCAGAGGAGGAGGAGTGAAGTCGCCGTGCTCAAAGATGAGAACCGAAAAGACACCGAAAATCCCCAGCACCGGCTGCGTCAGGAAAGCGATCTGGGGCTTAGAGGGCGGTGGGGCGTCCTCATCCCCACCGCGAGGGCCTGAAGGCACCGAGGCCATCACAGGAGAGAGTGCCGAAGGCACGAGCAGGATGTCATCGGACCCGCTGCCTGCGCTCGCCCCCCGTGTGGCGCCGCGGCCAAGACTCACCGCAGGACGCCGCTCCGCCCGGGGCGCCAAGAGCAGCTGCGTGAAGACGTGCTGGGACGCCCCTGCGCAGTCGGACAGCAGCTGCATGCCCACCCCCAGCACGTAGTGGTGCAGAGGCTTTGCCCCGGTAGCCCTGCTCCCCACGGCCGCCGACCCCCTGGGCACCGGCGCGTGGCACGTCTGCCCTTTACCTGGCCCCGCCTCTGGGGAGGGCACATGGCGAGGAGGGGATCGACTACAGAACTGATCTACCCCAGAGTGTTGGTTTCCCCATCGGATCTGCAACGAATACTTGGAACTGTCGCAAATCTGCTGAGAATTCTGGGCAGTGTTCCATAGGTTCTACGAGATTAATTCTGGGGTAGAGCAATAATTCTGTAGTCGATCCCCTCCTAGTCGCATGTGCGGTGCAAGGTGGAAGGTCGGGAGGGCGGGGCAGGGTTCGGTGGCAACTCATGGGAGGCTCCCATGCTATCTTGTCGGCTCTCGCGAATCGACGCTAGTCGACGATAAATGGACGCGTCGACGCTAAATCGACGCTAATCGACGCTAAATCGACGCGAATCGACGATGACCGACGCTGCATTGGCACATCTCATCGACTCACAGACGCTAATCGCCGCCAGTCGACGCGAAAGACGGAAGTAAGAGGGTAGGCCAGGCTCCCCTGATTTACTCCCAAGCAGAACTCGAGGACAATTCACCAAGTCTTCGGTCGGGCATGTCCTCCTACAGGCGGATGGACAACACATGCTCAAACATAGCCAAAAGTATACGAAAAATTGTCCAATGACGATGTCTTAAAAAAATTCTGAATACTCCTCCTGTAGAGGGGCATGCCCGACTTAAACCAAGTCAGGATCAGCCAACATCGCATCGGGAACTCGGCTCAAAACCGAGCTGTGCGTCGGCTCGGGCCGCACCGGCTCGGGGCCAGAAGATCGCACCGGCGGCGCCGGGATGCGCAAGCAGCAGCGCCGTGCACGCGCCGCGCCGCGCCTCGGACCGCCCGAACCCTTTGGGCTCGCATCGGATCGGGCCGCCTCGTCAGGCTGAACCGAATCGGACCGGTCGGATCGGCACGGGCCCTGCAGGGCACCGAGCATCGCGCCTCGCGCGCCGCGACGCGCGGTGGCCGCGCGGCGCTCTCCGCGCCACGGCGCCGCCGCTGCTCGACAGGAGGGCACCTCCGCGGTCGGGGCCGCGGGGCGCGCAGCAGCGCGGCTGAGGCTCCGCGTTCCCCGGTGGGCGGCCGAGGCGCACGGGGCCCGCAGGGCCCCCTCCAGGGACGGAGGTGGAGGGGAACAAAACGGGAGGGAGGGAGGAGCAGGAGCAGGAGCAGGCGCAGGCGCAGGAGCAGGAGCTGGAGCAGGAGCAGGAGGAGGAGGAGGAGGAGGAGGAGATGGAGGGGGACCAAAAATGGGAACCATGACCAGGGCTGCACGCGGAAACGTCGTGCCGACCTTGGTCACCGTCGATCTCGGTCAGCGCCGTGTGGTGCATCCTCCTCGCGAATCGGCGACGGCCGACATGGACCACGACCAAGATCGGCACCGGCAAGATCCCGCGACCTCTTGGTCATGGCCCCCGTATTCCTTCCCTCGAAGAAGAGGCCCCGGGAGGAAGCTCACAAGAAGTCCCGAGGAGCCACAAAACACCGAGAAGCATACGACACTGCAGCGTCCTCCGTGCTCCAGGCTTTTCGGTCTAAGATGGAGGAGGAGGAGGAGGAGGAGGAGGAGGAGGGGGAGGAGGAGGAGGAGGAGGAGGAGGAGGAGGAGGAGGAGGAAGAGGGAGGAGGAGGAGGAGGAGGAGGAGGAGGAGGAGGAGGAGGAGGGCGTCGGCGGGGCCCGGAGGGCGACAGCCACAGACGGCCCCGCGAACGCCCTGGGACAGCCCAAGGAAGGCCCCTCGTTGGCCCAAGACGGCCAAAGGGACTGCTCCGGGCTGCCACGGGACACTTCAAGATGGCTCCCAGAGTCTTCCCACGTCGCTGGGCAGATGCCCCCCCCGAGGTTTACCCGGAGCCCCAAGAGGCTCTAAAAAGAACCAAAGCAGCCTGAGGAGGTCACCGAGAAGGCCCGTGGCGCAGCGGTCAACGCGTCGCCTGCATGCCATAGCCAACGCACGCGAAACATTACACGAACGGTCAAACTCGAGGGGTCGGCAAATGTGGCGTGAACCAGGTGAATCTGACGGAATCTCAAATGAGTCGGGCATCGCCGTGACTATCCCACCGATCGAAATCAAAAACAGAGCTGGTATCATGGCCAATGTCGACCATGCTCGCCGACCAGAGTACCCCAGGCTCGGGTGGCTGGCACAGCGCGGTGCACACAATAACTCCCTCGCCCTGTGGTCGACTCCGGGCACGAGGGCTCCAAATAGGAAGGTGAGGGGAACCGTCAGAGCGAGCAACGCAGTCTTCAGCCAGGCGTCGATGAAGTAGAGCGAGGCGTTGGTGAGAGCGCGGTTCAGACCCGTGAGAGCAATCACGAGCAGAACTTGACCCGCGTGACGGCTCAGAGAAGAAGACGAGGCAAACGTCAAGCTGCACTTGCCAAAGCCCGACGCGCCTGGAGACTCTGAGCTGGGGCCTTCCTCGAGGGGGAGAGAGAACGGGGGACCAGCTCAGGGGGGGGGACGCTGAACCGGAATTGGCGCTACATCGCCAATAGATTTAGGTCGGGCATGTCCTCCTAGAGGCGGATGTTGGAAGAAAAATCGAACATTGTCAAGAAATGCACACAAAAACAAGACACACCAAAAACAAGAATAACAAATTGTTGTACTATTCTTGCATAGTCCTTCTGTAGAGGGGCAAGCCCGACTTACATTGGATCAGCCATAGGCCCTCGACTCGGGAATCTTCTGACCTGGGTCAATCCAGGCCCAGGCCAGTCAGGCCTTGCAGAATCCTGCAAGATCCTGCAAGATCTGCAAGCTCCTGCACCCGAACCCGGGTCAATACGAAGGATCCTGCAAAAAATCTGGCAGGACCCTGCACCCAAACCCGGGTCAGTGCGACCCTGGCCCTGCAGCATCCTGCAAGTTCCAGCGCTCTGGCTGACCCCCGTTTGCATTTGAGTATCGTTCATGCGATCCCCATCCCCAGCGGCGTGGCCCGGGCCCCACTGGCCGATGTACCCCCTAGATGGAGATGTGGGCCGTTCCCTTCGGGTTTCGAGGGGCGTATCCCCAACTGAGGGGGTAATTTGGTGGGGATCTCGAAGGGGATATTTGGACGCCCGAAATGGGTACCGAAAAAATGGATACAATGCCCAACAGCAAATGTTGTCCCAAACCAACAGCGGCCGCTGTTGGGCAGGCGGCCCTCTGTCTCAAATGGATACAGGCCGCGGCGGCGTGGACAGCGAACCCTGTTCAAAATGAACAGGAACTGCTGTTGGGCATTGTACCCATTCTTTCCGTACCCATTTCGGGCGTTCAGAGGATAGGGGATGGGGATCGGTCCAACGACACCGAGCATTGACCCCCGCCTCCCGAGCCCCGACCGCATGATAGCACAGCGCGCCTCCCCGGGCGGGGTGGAGCACCCCCCGAACCCCGCTCGGTGCTGCACGGGCCACTGGGGGGAGGGGGGGGGGCGCAAGCGGCTCCCCCGTCGCTGAGCTGGGCCCTCCCCGTCGCCGCCCCCTGCAGGTGGAGGCCCGCCCACAGTCGGGGAGGCGCAAGACTCGGGACCAGGGGGCTCGGGGTGGGCCCGACGGGGGCCATCACGAGAATGGCGGGACCCCATGTCCGAAACTTGACGCGGGCTCCCGCTGCAGACATCCCGCGAAAACGGGACCGTCAGAATCCAGGACGCGCTCGTCAAGAAAAGACCGGCGAACCCGAGTTCCGGCTTACGCGAGTCTTACGTTTCCCCGACACAAGAAACCGAACCCTGAGACCCCAGGACGTCCATGAATCTGTGGCGTGGAAACGCCACGCCTCCCACAGCAAAACCATCGAAGCCCAAGAAACCCGGGCACCCTGGAGGCAAGCAGGGTGTTTCTTGGCATAGGTCTCCACTGTAGTTCTTCAGTTGTCCGTCGCCCTTCCATAGATAAGAAATAACGCCGTAATCACAAACTGTTGGTGCTCCGTGCGGATTTCTTGGATCTGTGCTGGGGCCCCCCACGCGGCGCCTCTGGCGCCGCCCCTGGCACGCTGCGCGCGCCAGGGAGGGGTGTTCAGAGCAGACCCAAGAAATCTGCGCGGAGCGCCGAAAGGTCATGTTTATGGCGAATTTTCTTCATCAATTCCAGTTGTAGAAAAGCAAACGGTGCCACCAGCATCGAGGCGAAGATCCCGTTGCCCACGACCGAGAAGAGCCCCTTGTGCTTCGCAGACTTGAGGGCGGACGTAACCCAGATGGCGCAACCGAACCAGATCACAGTGACCAATGGCCATGCACGCCACAGCTGGCGCAGCCACAGCCCGAGAGGACCGAAGACCCAGCGCGTTACGAGAGACTGGCAGCGAAGCATGGCCTGCTGTACACCCGAATCTGCCACCGGTGCGGCTGAATTCGCCAGAGATCCTGAACAGGCAAGCCGTCAGAGCTCTGATGCAGAGTGCGTAGATGGCCACCGGTGAGGTTTCCTAATGTTCCATCCGCCGCCCCAGCCGCTCGAAAAGGGCGCGCTCTTCGAGGCCGTCCCGCTCTCGGCCCCTCGAAGAATCCGAGACAGCCCAGAACCGCTCCAGGACGGCTTGCAAGCAGTGCCAACCTAGCCGAGCGGCCGAAAGACCTCACCATGGATTCAATGCACAGTTTTTTTGATTCGCGGGTCGAGAGCGCACCTCTTCTGGTCGAAGCTAAGCGGGCCGCGCGAAGCTTGAATTAACCAGAGATGGGGAAAGAGAAGGGGGGCGCAGCCTCAGAACGAGGCTGGGAGGAGGCAAAGCCTCGGAATCAGGCGGTGCCGTAGCCGAACGGATTCAATGCACAGCCCAGCCAAGAAGCCGGAGGAAGAGCGCCCAAGAGGCGCCCCAAGGGGCATCCTCACGAGGCCCCGGGGGGCCAATCCGCCGACCCATGCTTGACGGGGGTGAGAAGGCGTGTGGGAAGATTGGCTGGTGCCCCCCCCCTTCCCCCTTCCCCCTCAGAACAAGGCGTGTGAGAAGATTGGCTGTTCCCTGCCCCCTTCCCCATCTCCCCCTCTCCCCTTCGCCCCCTCTCCCCCTCTTCCCCTCTCCCCCTCCCAGCAAGGCCCAAACTCTAGCTGTCAGGCCGGGAGGGTATCC